AAATTAAAATTATAGATATTTTTGTTGCAGAAATCTGTGATAGAAGGATCACAAAATATTTTAAAACATTACTGTAGGATAAAATTCTTTGGGGCAGAAGGAAAAAACATAATAAAAAGGAATTCAGTAAAATTTCCATCTGTTAAAGAAAACTTTATATATATATATATATAAGCTTATGTGTATATATGTTTATCATATAAACATATGATAGCAAAAGCTTATACATTTTAATTTGTTTTTTAATAGTTTATCATGAGTAACAAATTACTATAGTATGTAAATTCCATTGGATAAATAGAGCATAGTAATTTTTTAATGCCCATACATATTGAATTCTAAAAAATTACAACTTTTGCAGCTTTTTAGATATATGATGAAAAATTTTAGGTGCCAACTTAGAATTTGAAAACCACTGACTTACAGATCTCTCTAGTCTCTCATTTACTGTTTGTGGCACTGTAACTACCTGTTTTCAGATCTCATCCCTTTCATGAGAACAAAGGTGATTAAGGGTAAGGACCAAATTTTCTGATCTTTGTTTTCACAGAACTTTAACAAGTATCATGTTGATAACAGAAGCTCATGTAAATGTTCGCTTAATTAAATTACTTTTAATTTCATCAAAGACATCAAGGTGTGCCGTTTATTCCTCTACTACTGAGACTAAGTAAGATGATTACTTAGCCTTTTCTACTACTGATAATCAAAACAACTGCCAGATAAAAATAAAATCTGGGCTTAAGAGAACTTCATACTTTATTCCTAAAATGAGAATAAGGAAAATACTGTGAGAAGGAAATGAGCATATACAGTAAACCAATATCAATTTTCAAATGTGGTTATTTTCTACATAAAATAAAGCAACATTAAACATTCAGAAATACATTTATTGGCACAAAACTGTAATGTATATATGCTCTTAACCAAAATTAGTTTCTTTTCACAATAGTTCTTTTTTTTTTTGAGACACAGTTTTACTATGTCACCCTCTGTAGAGTGCTGTAGTGTCACAGCCCACAGCAACCTCAAACTCTTGGGCTTAAGCAATTCTCTCACCTCAGCCTTCCAAGCAGTTGGGACTACAGGTGCCCACCATAATGCCCATCATTGTTGTTTAGCAGGCCCAGGCCAGGGTCAAACCCACCAGCCTCACTCTATGTGGCTGGCACCCTATTCACTGAGCTATGGGTGCCAAACCCATAATAATTCTTGTTAATGTACACCAAATTAGAAAACAATAAAAACACCAGCAGATGGATCAGAGTGGTTGACAATAAACTTTTTCTCCCCAGGTCACTAATATAGAATTGTAATGAAAAATCATATACTTACACATAGATTAGTGTATATATAATACTTTACATATTTTTTATACTTTATGCAGCACCTCTGTTTAGGACCCTGTAAAGACAAGACATTGCTGGAACCGCTGTATCTGCTACATATGCAAAGCTAACCCAGCTAGGACACTAGTTATGAATATATTCTGACTCACAGCCATGCGGCACTTTGCATTCACTGAAGATTATCAACAAGGTTTGGTCTTGTCCTGTGTTTGTAATCCTGTTATATTACCTTTAATATGATATACAACATTTTATTTTATAATATTACATATAGACCCCTTAAAATACAACATAACTTAAGCAAAGCAATTTTTAAAAATATCATAAAAACTCTTATAACCTTACTTAGAAACATCAAGTTTGGATTTAGGAATTAGATGGCCTAATATCTTCCCTGATTTTTAACATTCTTTTGTCATTATAAGATTGTTTCTTTAAAGAAAATATTATCTTTTGAACTATTGTCTAGGCCATAAAAAGAGAAAACATTGTCTTGAAGTTATAAAACTCCCTTTATTCAAAAGAAAAAATTGAAACTACCTAATGTAGGATAATCCCTTATCTTAACAGTATCTCTGTGAATACTAATTCCGGGTAACATTTATTGGGGCCCCCTTTGTACCAAGCAGTGTGTTTGGCACTTTACACTTGATCTTCACAACCTTCTGAGGTAGGTGAGATCACTGTGCCCACTTTATAAGAGAGGGTTCAAGGCCACGTTCCTGGAAGGTGAAAGGCATGATGGGATGCCCACGCCTGGTGTTCCTGAGCTCCTCACTAGACTGTGAGCTCTTTGAAGTGGGGCGTGAGGGCAGAGGTGGGTACCTACCACATCTTAGCACTATGGGGAGGAAAGTAGGGAGGAGGAAATAGGTGAGAGCCTTTCCTGGGTGTCATGACAGTGGGCAAGGCTGGACGTAGTGGGGCAATAGCTCAGCCAACAAGCCCAGTCTTTGTACCCTCCCACATTTGTAAAGATGTTGGAGTATGAAAACACTTCCTCAGAAATGAGAGAGTACTTGGAAAGTTAAGTGTTCAAACACAACCTGATTTCCCTGGGACTAAATCAAATTAATTGGTACCAATCTTATTATTATGTTGTCTCCCATTGAAGACCTTGGAGTTTTTATTGTATTTAGCTAGTTCTTTGTTTCTGTATAGAGCTTTGTCAGCTTCTTATTTCCCCTTAACCTTTCCTTTCAAAGACGTGTTTCTCTGCCAGGAAATTACCCTGGAAGGGAAGCAATGTAAGGTGGGTAAATTTCTCTGAGGCAGAAACATCAGCCCTGGAATGTCTGGGTTTGTGGGCAGTCAACGAAACTAACAAGAACTTAAAAGTAGTCTTTAGGGTTCTAAAAACTTGACTCTATTCTGTTAGTAAATGAGGTCTGGAGTAGTGATTGGACTAAACCACTATGGGTTTAGACCCTTCAGCATCACAGCTCCCGGCTTCCCAGAGCGGTCGGTATCCCAAAGACCACAGCCCACTCTCTGCCTCCTGTCCCATTTGGAGCTCTGCCTCTTTGCCCAGAGCTCAGTTTAGCACAAAGATCCCCGATCTCTTTGGCTGTATCCTGAAGTCCCAAGTGAAAAGAGTTCATCTCAAATTGGCCCAAGGGTAAAAAAAAAAACAAACAAAAAAACTCTCTAAGTGAAAACAAATAATTTCAAGTTTTTTTGACCGCCAATTTACATAGATGTGAACAACTTTGGCTAAATAAATAAATAAAAGCAAATTTTCAGCTTTTTTTTTTTTTTTTAAGAAAGTGCTTTTCTTCAATGTATATTAAAGCAACCATAGGAAAGATTGACTCGGTGCTCTATTGTGTGGGAAAAAACAGCCTGGAGATCAGCTAGCGCCCTGCTACCCCTTGTTGTTTATCAAAACTCTATTTCTGCAACTGTAAAATTGACGGTTAGCTGCAGTGCACTTAAGCATTTGTGTATTTGGGATTTGCCCAACTAGGTAAAGACATGTTGGCAGTGACAGGTAATGTGAGTAAGGGACATAGAAGGGTCTGACAGAATCTGCATTTGGCTAAGACCAAGAAGGAGCCATCGGAGCGGACAGCTGTCTCATGTCAGGAGACTCAGTCTTTCCAGGAAAATTAAGCAGGGATCAAATCTGACATTTAACAAGTTTCAGAAGCCCCCCCACCCCCAGGAATCCCTCAACCCTACCTTTTCAATTTATTTGGAGACATAACAATTTAGAAAATATTTTTAACAAAATAAAGCAATCTTTACTTCAAATTTCCCTAAGTTAGATGATCTAACTTACTAGGGCTTTGAGGCAATACACTACATACAGAAGGCCTGATTTATGATTGACTGCATTTTATAACAGAAAACCATCTGTGCTCAATTAATAAGCAAAACAAAAGGCGACTCAAGGATTGAGTCGGCAGGGAATTCAGCTGGTTTAATAACAGACATTAATACTGACTGATGACCGGGCAGATGAACAGGGGAAGCCTCTGTGGTGTGTAATCCTGAAAAACCATTTGGATGTCAAAGGAACTAAAATGTTCTTTGTTTTTCTTTTTCCTGAGTACTAAAAGATTTTGGTAAGGCTACCAAAAATGTAAGTTTTTCTCTGTAAACATATTTTAATATACTCCATAAACTATTCCACATGAAAATACAGAAAAAACAAAAATTTAAACAAAATACAAATTCTAGCACTCAAGAAAAAGCTGAGAGAAATGGAGTACCTGTCAATTTCAGCGCTGATTTTACTTCCACCAGCCAAGGCTTCATTAGTGTAAGATCAGTGCGTAAGAATGTCCCAATTTAATCGTAAACATGTAAATGTGAGTTGTATCTTCAGGGTTATACTAATGTGCTAATGAAACATCCTCAATTTCAGGAGAAGCTTGTTATAAGTAATGGAGCTGGGAGTATGAGAATATTCTCCTCCTTCCTTTTTCTTGAGACAGAGTCTTGCTGTCAACTGTGCTGGAGTGCAGTGGACTCATCACAGCTCACAGCAGCCTCAAACTCCTGGGCTGAAGCCACCCTCCTGCCTCAGTCTCCTCAGTAGCTGGGATTACAGGCACTCACCACAATACCCGGCTAATTTTTCTATTTTTAGTAGAGACAGAGTCTCTCTCTTGCTCAGGCTGGCCTCAGACTCCTGAGCTCAGGCAGTCCTCCCACCTCAGCCTGCCAGAGTGCTGGAATTACAGGCATGAGCCACTGTATCCAGACCCTTGCCCTTTAGCTAATGTAATGTAACAAAATGAGCTAGCTTTTTTGTTTTACTTAATTAGATAGTCTTACCTTCAAAAATAGATTCTCTAACTAAAAAAAACACTTTCTTTGGTAATATTTGATGACATTTCTGGTCAGAGCCTATAAAAACTCTTTAGAAAATAAACAGTAGTTCAAGACATGTACATAAAAACACATGGTTTCCTGGCTATTTCTGGTCACATCAAGAGCAGGTCTTTATACAGTCTCAGAAGCTCCCAGGAATTTCATTTCTACAGTAGCTTTTGGCCTTTTAGCTGAGCCACTTTGGAATTCTGCAGCGATTTCCTCAAAAGACTTTCCTTTGGTTTCTGGAACTTTAAAAAATGTGTACAGGGTGAAGCCCAGGACCACTCCAGCAAAGAAGAAGAAGATGTAAGGGCCGCATAAGTTCTGGGAAAAAGCAGAGACTGGTCAGTGGCTGCCTGGCCCTGTCTGCCCCAGAGCCCGCCCCTGTGGGGTCAGCGACACAGGTTCCCTGGTGCAGGGACCCCCATTTTCTAGGCCGGGGTGAGCTCAGCAATCAGGGTCCTCACAGACCCCCCAGTTGGGCACAAACAGGCCCCCCTTCTGGAATGGGGGCACACACCCTAATTCCTTGCTGGGCAAAAATGCAAGAATGCATTAAACTGCAAGGGCGGCATTTCTGTGCTAATTTTAGGGTTATTTCGGAATTATTTTTTGCTCACAGACTTCGGCCCAATTGTGACATATTTCCCCAAGGTCCCCTGCCCACAGGATGGGAAAGGCAGCAGAAGCCTGAGACTGGGGGGTGGGGTGGGATCCCTTCTTGGATCCCCCTCCACTGCCAGGGCTTGTCCCTCTTTTGCTTATCAATCTTTCCATCAATAGACTCGGTCCTGCCGCGTATGCACGCCACTGTGGTTTCATCTCCAACCCCAAGCCCGCAGCCCAGCCTCACCACCAGGTATGGGAAGCACAGCGCAACCAAGCAGTTGCAGAACCAGTTGCTGAAGGCAGCGATCGCTAAGGCGGCGGGGCGCGGGCCCTGGCTGAAGAACTCGGCCACCATGAACCAGGGGATGGGGCCTGGCCCGATTTCGAAGAAGCTAACGAAGAGGAAGATGGCCACCATGCTCACGTAGCTCATCCACGGGAACTTCTCCTGAAGGAAGCATGGGGCAAAGCAGAGCGGGTTGAGGTCGCAGTCCTCGCACCTGCCGCCTGGGCCTCCCCGCAGGCCAGAAGCGGCCTTAGATCTTCCTGGCTCAGGCCAGGCAAGGGCAAGATAGTTATTCTGGAGCTGTGTTGGGGGACCCCTGGGTTAGGACGCTAGACGCCCCCCTGGCTCTTTCCCTGTGAGAGAGGCAGGGCAAGGACGCAGCGACCAGGTCTCACACCCCATGGCCACCAGACAAGAGCGACACCCTTCCCTCGACGTCCCAGAGGCAGGATCTGTGACACGAGCAACACAACAGGGCCAGGGCTGGGGCGACGCAACCCTGTGCTCCGACCCCGCCTCCCGGGACGACTCCCCATCCACACGCGGACCTGCAGCTGACCACGCTGACCTCCCCATTCACACGCGGACCTGCAGACTTTACACCCAGGAATCGAGTCCCTCTTGTCTCTGCGTGTCTTTGAATGACACGCTGTTCCTCTGACTTCCCTGCATGAGTTAGTCTCAAACCGTTTTGATACAAACTGACTTAAACTAGAGCCCAGAGGGGCTGCCATGCGGCGCCCAAAGCCTCAGCCCAGGAGGCGAACTCACCAGCAGCACGAGCCCCAGGGACATGAAGACCGCACAGACGCACATGCCACCCAGGCCAGCCAGGAACAGCGAGCGGCGCCCCGCCTTCTCCACCAGGAACACCTGTGGGAGGACAAGTGTCACGTCTCGGAACAGCCACATTGTACAGAAATCACTATTGCTGCCGACCAGGCTGTTGTGATTTACAGGCAGGAGGCAGCTGTGCGTAGGCCCCCATTCCACAGTGTGAGGACGAGGTGGGGAGCGTCGGCCCCAGTGAGCTAACTGGCTGCGTCCTGGTGACTTGAGCAGACCACTCCGGGGATGCCCAATAGCCAGGGACCACCCTGGATCCTCCCACAGATGTCCTGTGCACTAATAGGTTTACTTTAACAATGGCATTGATCTCTGTTCTGATAATCACCCCGAGTCCTAATTCTGGCTCTGCACAGCATTGACACCTGAGGTGTGCAGCTGTCCTGGCCACAACTCTCCCCTCCCATGTCCTCACTGCTTAGTAAAGTCTTGTCATGACCTCCCCACCTGGCAACACATGGAGTTTGGTCATTGTACCAAATAGTCAGGTCTGCATTTTTCTGATATGCTTAAGTACCTGGTGCCAGGAGTGAGTGAGCTATTCATTCAAGATAAGACTTTAAAGCTAAGGGTTCAAATGCTTTCTTGCCCTGGCTGAGGAGACACGCCACTGCTTCCTTAGATGTGTGGACCTTTGCACCAGCAGTGCAGGCTCACAGCTGGCCACAGCCAGGTCTGTTGAGTACACTGACTGTCCTGGATGCTTGGAACACTGCCAAGGCTGGTGAGTCACTCCCTCCCTATCTACTTGTCATAATTTCTCACCTTGGAGAGGAAATTGCCAGACTTATCAATCTATCAGCAAACCAGCAGCAATTCACACGTGTGTGGGGTGAGCTCCAGCTCTGAACGTGAAAGGCCCTTTCCCCTGGGACACGTGTCCACACTAGAGTGATCACTTCAGATAGGACAGTAAGCAAGAGTGAACATTTACTTATTGACAAAGAAGTAGGAAAAAGTAAGCCTTGCTCAATTTTGTAAAGTTTCCCTCTATGTTTTGACTTGCTTTTTTTTTTTTTTTTTTTGAGACAGAGTCTCACTTTGTTGCCCTGGGTAGAGTGCCATGGCATCACAACTCACAGCAAAATCTAACTCTTGGGCTCAAGTGATTCTCTTGCCTCAGCCTCCTGAGTAGCTGGGACTATAGGTACCTGCTATTTTTAGAGACCTGTTCTTACTCTGGCTCAGTTTGGTCTTGAGTCTGTGACCTCAGGCAATCCACCAGCCCCAGCCTCCCAGAGTACTGGGATTACAGGCATGAGCCACCTCGCTTGGCCTTGTATTTTCACTTTTTAATTATGGCTTTCAAAACTTGCTTAATGACACTACCGAAAAAACAGAAACATTTCTTTAGGAATAAGGGCTCTTACTAAATCTGTTTCTGAAAAATTGTTGTTAGATGGTAAATTCTAAAACTGCATGACTTGAAAACTGAGCCAAACGCTTTCGGAAGCTGGATGTGCACTCAGGGTGAGTGTGCCCGGGGAGATCTTTGTCCAGTGTGCGCTACTCAAATCCTAGTGCCCCCAGGAGTTGTCAGCCACTGCCTCACCCCCAGACTCAGCCTGCCTCCCAACACCCCTTCTCCTCTTCCCCCTACTTTGTCCTGTCTCTCAAGATAACAAGCTGTCTTCTGCCAGCCCAGCAGTGCAGGAAAGAATATGCAGTATGGACGTGATTCAGTGTGGAGCCAGGAACGTCTCTTTCTCTCATTCAGAAAAAATTGATTGATCTTGCTTCTAAATTGGTGAAACATTGATATATTCAGTTCATATCCCTATTTGCATATTTTTATTTGAAAGGACACACAGAATTTGGTAAAGTCGACTAATTTTGGGGAGAGAAACTGGGTAACTGAGGGACTATCCTTTTTGTACTTTTTGAACTTTAAAACAAATTTTCAAAAATAAACATAATTATAAATTTGAAATGTTATCTTTAGTTCTGGAGACTTAATTAATGAGTAATACATTTTTTAAAATTATGTCACTCATCTTTTCAAAAATTTTCACAGAATGAAAGGATGAACTCCAAAGAAGATATATTCAAGATATTATAACATTGTCTTAAATATAACATCTCTTTCCACACCAGTGGTATTAGGGGCAAAATGCAAAAAGGAAATTCTGCAGAAACTCTCTCAGGATTTGGGCTACTCAGTCTTGAAAACTTGATGTTTTATACAGCAAATCCTGGTACGTACAGAATGTTTTAATAATAGTCCTTGTATTATTAAAATACGTTGAAGTAGCATTTTAGGAGACAGAAGGGTGAACAGGCCCTTGGATTGCATTTCAGAAATAGGCCTTGAGTAATTTCTGAAACAGTTTCTTTGTTTTGAACAGGTCTTATCTCCAGGGCCCCTGGTGTCTGCTGTTATCTGTTCTTCTGACCCTTTCCAAGGTCCAGCACTGTTTAATGTGCCCCGGACAAGCCTGTCTTTGATCTGGGCAGCCAGGCTGTAATTTATTGACCACTCTAAGGTAATAGTTAAGAGTTCATGTATAGAAAATGAAAAACAAGTAACTATTATAAAATGTGTTGAGTATAATATTAAGACCAAAATTGAAAAGCACAGATTTTTGAACATCCTATGTTCAAAGATAAAAATCAGCTCAGTTATCCTCATTTCAGAATGAATTACATTGACTGGGAAGTGCTGTCTTTGTTGTTGTTTATTTTCTTTCTTAAATTATTATATCCAATATGACTGTTGTCGAGACCCTGAGTAATTCCTTGTATGAGGCATTGGTTTTATGAACGCGTACCCCCTCCCCCTTCCATGGAAACCTGCAGCATTTCTGGTCCTGTGCCCTGGGCCCCTCTCCTAACACAGCTTGCCCCACACTTCACGCAAGCCACAGCACTATGAATGACCCAGAAGTCTGCCCAGTGTCCTGACATGATAGGAATTTGCTGAGTCTTAGACGCTGAAATGTCTGCTATCAAGGGCTTTTTTTTTTTAAGGTGTTTTCCCTAAGAAATGGGGATTAAAAAAAAGAATTTCAACCATGGAAGAAGAACCTGAGTAGACTGTCCAGCATTGATAGACAGTCAACTCTCAGACACTTAAGTGCTGAGGTTTGCACAAGGAGGACGTCCTTGTACTCCCTAGTGAGCCATTATTCACGAGCGGTGACTGGGAGAGATTTCAGTGGGGAGCCATGATCCCCCTTCTCAGCTGTCCTAATCTGAAGTGGTGGCTGCTTATTCATAGGGGACTCTTCCCCCGATCTGCTTCACTCTGCACACCCAGTGCACGTGGACAGTATGCCATCGATTGCTTAGACCACAAACTTTGCCCCTCATCTCTGGACTAAGGAACAGGCAGTACATTTATTTATGGTATTTACTCACGGAGGCAGCAGTGAAGACTGTGTTGACCGCACCGACCCCAATAGTTGCGTAAACAGGTTGACTGATTCCAGCCTCCTGAAAAATGCTGGTTGAGTAGTAAAATATCTACAAAGTAAAAACAGTTCAGCCTTAATCAAGAAACCCAGCACTGATGGTTTTAAAGCATGAAATATTTTAGGTTGTTTATTTCAGCTTTTGCTGTGGAGCTATGGTCCCCAGAAGGTCTCAACGACCTTCTTCACCCTCCACTTCCAGGGTCTTCCAGGTCTCCCTTCAGCATTTAAAGCTTCTGATTCCTTTATGTGTAGCTGAAAACTCTGCTGGTGCATTTTCTTTTTTTTTAAAAATATTTTAAACTTTTTGTTAAAATACACATACAATGGTAGCTCAATTAATTTTCACAAACTGAACAGCCTGTGTAAGCAGCACCCATATGGAGAAATAAATTATTTCCAGCCTTCCAGAAATGCCCAGGTGTCCCTGCATTCTAAGGAAACTTCTCTCCTAACTTCTGACATCACAAGTTTTACTTTCTTGTGCTTGATGTAAATGGACCACATCCTGTGTATCGTTTGAGTCTAGCTTCTCTGTGAGGGCCACCTTCACTGTGTGTATTTGTGACGGTTCACCATCAGCACTGCAGAGTGTCCTGTCATACCCGTTACCGCAGTGTACACGCCAGCATTCACGGTATTTACGGCAGGGACCTGCTTCAGGCAGTGTTGCTGTGAACATGGTGGCTCCATCCTGTCGTGAAGCCTATGAGCATTCGCACCCGGGATAGAGCTGCTGGGCCACCACATGTGCAAACCAAGTGCTGACAGTTAAGTCTGCAAGCTCATCCCAGAAAGACTGCTACATGCCTCCTTGCTGAATATCACTGTGGTCACCCTCGAAGTGCTCTCCTGGGGAAGCTGTGCACTGAGGCCAACACCTCATCCAACTTTCTTTTTTTTTTTTTTGGCCAGGGCTGGATTTGAACCCACCACCTCTGGGATGTGGGGCTGGCACCCTACCCTTTTGAGCCACAGGCACCACCCCTCATCCAACTTTCAAAGCAGTTTTGGAACTCTTAGCCCTGGAATGGCTATCAGAACTTTCATTGTACAGCACAGGTTTCCAAGGGGAGTATTTTGAAGGTGAGCTCAGTGATATTAAGCAATGAGGCAGGGAGCACTTTTCCTACGATGAGTTTCTGAAAACTATCAGACCTCATATGCTCAGCTTGGACAGATAATTACCATTTTTCTAAGGAAGTTATGACAATTTTGTAATTTCACTAATGAGTATAAGAGTTCTGGCTGCTATTGTATTTAATCCAAAAATTTCCACCGGTCTTGGCAGCAGGGGAAATCTGGCTTACAACCTCCCAAATAGCCTTTTTAAATTTAGTTATAATTTTATACTTATGACAATCTCCAAGGTCATCTGATTGTCTCTTACCCTCTGTCATTGCTTCTCCACCTAACCTGTCCTGTTGCAGGCATCTCTTCCTGCAGACAGGACTGATGCAGGGGGCTGAGCAGAGGGTCACAGGCCACAGTGTCCTGGAGACAGGACTGATGCAGGGGTCTATGCAGATGGTCAGGGAGCAGTGGAACATATGTATGAGTGGAACATGTAGTTCCTGCCCCTTTAGCCTGCCCACCAGGCTCAGTTTTAACATTTCCTGGATGCCTCCATACATTATGTTGGGATAGAAGCTGAATCAGAGGTTCAGAGAAGATTAAGTACCATGCCTTTGGATATGAATTTGGTGTCTGAGCCCCAAAGACACCAGAATTTTAGTAAGAATGAATGTTAGCCTTTTTGAAAGGAAGGCAAAGAGCACAGCAGAGCTTGTGGAGAGCGGTTCCAGTCTTGTTTTGCTGGTGGGAATTACTTTCTCCACATCCCCCCAGTATATGTCCATCCATGGATCACCCCCAAAGTATCTCTTGTGGTTTGGGGATAGCAGGATCCCCACTTAAATTTTTAACAGTAATGAGAGGGGATAAGTAATTGTTTAAAATCTAATTCCTTAAACAAATGCTTAATTTTTCTTCCAGTAGCTAATTGCCATTAGAACCATTTCAGTCTGCATGGTATGGGGGTTTCAATTCAAACCCTAAAACTCGTTAGTGGAATACTTGGTATGTTTGCCCATCATGTCTTATCTGTTTAACTGTACCCTGTTACCTGGTTAACTGTTTAACCCTTACTCACCAATACTGTGACAGTTTACATTACTGTTTCCCTAAATGGAGTGAGAGTTTCTTGGAGGGCGGGACACTTTTCTTTGTACATGGCTATTCAATAGGTAAAGGGAACCATGGGCTCCTTTTTGTTTAGGGCTATTTGATACTCAACTCTGGAAGCCTCTTGCAATTTAGTTTGAGGGATATAATTATTTTATTCTCTTTTCCCTCCTTGTATTAATTATGACTTTTGCCTTTTACCTTCATATTAATGGACATATAGTACCATTGATTGTTGACATTTTAAAAAAGCAAACTAATATTAGAGAGATGTTGAAACAAAAAACAAAAGAAAATTAATACTCAGTATATGTAGTAGTAAGATGTATGATGACAACATTTTATTTTTATTTATTTATTTTTTGAGACAGAGCCTCAAGCCTTTACCCTGGGTAGAGTGCTGTAACATCACAGCTCACAGCAACCTCCAACTCCTGGGCTCAAGCGAGTCTCCTGCCTCTGTCTCCCAAGTAGCTGGGACCACAGGCGCCCACCACAATGCCCGGCTGTTTTGGTTGCAGCCATCATTGTTGTTTGGCGGGCCTGGGCTGGATTCAAACCCACCAGCTCAGGTGTATGTGGTTGGCGCCTTAGCTGGTTAAGCCACAGGTGCTATGCCGATGACAACATTTTAAAATGTCTTTTAGCTACTTCAGCTTGTACCTATTACCTCCCATATCTTAGTTCATTTTGCTCTGAGAGTTCGGGGAGTTCTGAAACTTACTCCATTAATTCCAGAAAACTGCTGAGCCGCATGCAGCATCAGACCCACCCACAGGGGCTTTCGGTAGCTGGAGTTGGTGAAGAGCTGCTTGATGGAGACTTTCTGCTCACTGGCTGTCTCTTCCCTTTCTTTTCTCATCTCATTAATGTCTTTGGTGACATCATCAAATCCTCTGAGCCTTTTCAAGCCTGTGTCCCAAAATGATCAGGTTGAAACAACTCAGGTCAAAACAAAACAAATTACTTTTGTTATGTTAATGGAACTACTGTCACCCTCCCCCCTTTCTGTTACTCAATAGCACAGGTGCTGGTAATGCTTTTTTGGTAAAAGAAAGTTTGCTTTTTTTGCAATTTTTGGCCAGGGCTAGGTTTGAACCCGCCACCTCTGGCCATATGGGGCTTGTGCTCTACTCCTTTGAGCCACAGGTGCCGCCCAAAGTTTGCTTTTTGATTTAAAAACAAACAAAAAAACCTAGAACATTTGGCTTCATCTCATGATGAAGAAAGTATGATTTCATCATGGTGAAGATGTAAGGCTGGTGAGACCCTCTAGATTAGAAACACCTGATTATACCTGACACCCGGCATGTGGGCTTCTGGCTTAGACTGGAAGGAATGTGTATGAGTGGAAAATGGCTTGTGCTGGTGTCAGTAAAGTGACTTCTCACATTTTTCTTGCATGAGTTTGTTTGGAGGGCCCTGGTGCTAGTTTGAGAGCCAAGATGCACCCTGCTTTGCACTGGCTGACACCGGCAGAGGAAACCTCAGACTTTGAGGCTGCTGTAGGCAGAAGGAACCCCAGACTCACTATTCTTTGCCTTGACTTCCTCGTCCAGCTTGATGTACAGATACCGGGGGCTTTCTGGGCAGAAGAAGAGCAGCAGTGACTGGAGAACTGCGCGCACGGCGGACAGGCCGAGGAGGACATGCCACAGCTCATGATTGCCCAGGATGAAGTCCAGGCCGACAATCTGGATAGGTGGGCGGGAGAAGATCCCTGGAACACTCTGCATCTGCCTTCTGCACTGACATGTTCACAAAGTAGCTGGCTCCTTCACAGCGAGCCCGGCAGCTCTGGTTCAAGGGAGCTGGGGATGGGAGCTGCTACTGTTGTGTCTCACTTCACTGAATCGGGGATTGTTTGTTTACAAAGAATTTACGTAGGCTGGTTTTCATTGAGTCTTGTTGGACGTTTAGGATGGGAATCACCCAAACTTTTCTTAAAAAATTGGATGCACAAGTGGCTGTGGTCTCCAGGCATCCAGATGGAATAATACTGTGATACAATCTTTGGACCTTTGTTTGAAAACTCCTCCTTAGATTGCCTGGAACTCAGTAGAACGGGGTTTCACAGACAGAACAGTTACTCTGATGAAAACCAGCTCTGTGGTCCCCCCTGGCCTGGCTCACACACTGCTCCTGGAGGGCCATGACCTTGCTCTGAGACTAGAGGGCAGGAGAGCAGGGGAGCCAGCTGGCAGGAGCTGTTGGGGTAATCACTTACACGCTATGTTTCCTGATGAGAGGAAGGAAACAGTCAAAAACGTAGTTTCCTATTTCTTGAAATCTGAATGGGTAAATTTAATTCTACAGTACCGTGGATTTTGAGACCTGAGTTACCAGGTCACCTTTAGTGCTGACCCCACCAACAGTTCCAGGAAAAGTGTAGAGGGACAGTGGTTGACCTTTGCGCTGAGTAGCCTCTGTCTGCCGCTCTCTCGGCCACTGGCAGAACCGGTCTGTTCTCTGTACTGGTCTGCAGTGAGAGGGGACAGTCAGGACAGGAGAAGGCACAGGGAGTGTTTACCTGGCTCACGAGAATGCCTGTGACAACAGCCAGCTGATGCAGAGTGCCAAGTGCTCCCCTGAGAGAGACTGGAGCAATTTCACCAATGTACATGGGAACCAGGCCGGAAATCAGCCCTGCAGGGAACATGAATGGTACAGTGAGAGTAGCCAGGACTGTGTCAGGAACAACAACAGGGTTTGTACGGTGGATCCTGACTGCACGTCCCTCCTGTGTTCCTTGGAAGAGCGAGCCTTTGTTCCTAGCTACGGAAACACAGTTTATGCAAAGAATATTTGTTGACATGATCCCAGATGAAGTTATAGATGGAAATGAGCAGAGAAACGCCTGGTCATGTGTCCGGCAGCTCTTCCCACACTGTCCTAGTCAACAAAATCCACGTTAATATTTAGTTTGTATCATGGCACCTTAGATTATCTTCAGAGAAGAAAATGAAGAATGTTTTAATAATTTTCTTGATGTAGGTTCACGGGAGTAAAGAAAATCAGACCATTTCTAGGCCATCCTCTTGGCAGAGATGGGAAGGTCCCTGTCCATGTCACAGCACCACAGGGCATGAGTGTGAGAACTACACGGCCTGCCTGAATGTCACAGTGTGGGGACCTCAAGGTCACTGTGAGGGTGGTTGGGGTGTGGAAATGTGGAAGGGATTAATGAACTCAAGCATCCAGCTAGAGAAACCCAGCTTCTTTATTTTGTCCATATACAGCAGAACCTCCACAACTGACCACTTCCCAACACTGACCACCTCCTAAGTTGTCCTAATTTTGATAGACTGGACACGCCCCACATGTATGTCTCAGCACCGTAGGCCTAGTTCCTTATGGGGACCACCTCTGTGTGCTGACCACTTTGCTGCAGTCCCTTGGGTGGTCAGTTGGGTGGTCAGTCACCTTACAGAGGCTCTGCTGTCTTAGGCATCAGAAAATATTTTATTTGAAGAATGACTTTAGATGCATAAAGGAATACAAAAAATTTGAAAAACATTAGCCACTCCTCTTATCCCATGCTGTCGGCAGTGGGGGGTGTGGCCATCCCCTGACTCAGAAGAGGTTCAGAGAGTATCAGCAGGGGAAGCTGAATTCAGTGTCTGGCACTTTCTGAAGTATTTAGAAATGTGATTAGGCAGAAGCTTCCTTGTACAGATTGCCTGCCATCAAATGGAAACAGATGGTCTTTGTGTAAAAGAAGTTTTGGGCAACTGTTTTTACTACTGCACCCAAACTTTATGTCCACCCTGCATATATATATTTAGTGCTTCAAAGTCTTCTTAATATCTCAAATGAAAATGTAGATGTTTGATATGGCACCTATATTCCTGCTGAATTTTACAAGTGATTCTCATGTGAGGCCTGTTGATCTTAAATAAGAAGAAAACATTTAATTGATCTCATTCTAAGTTGCACTGTCTTTCAGTAATACCTGATACTCAGCCATAAGAGCAGAATCATGTTGATAAGCTCAGGACTGAGGTCATGTGAATCTGAAGTCAAATTACACTTCCTATAATTTTTAGCAACTTTTGTGCTTATGACAGGGCCAGGTCTAGTTTTAGAAGATGGTCAGAGATGTGCTAGCGACTGGGCTGTGCTAGTCGTGTGTTGTTTCACAATATGTTTGCTGCATTCATTTTCAATTTAGCCAAAAACATTTTCCAGTATTTCATAGTTATTTCATACTGTGTCTTTCTAAATGGGAGGAAAAGAAAGGTGAATTCATAATTTGAACCTCTTATGTTGTTTTTATCTGTGTTTTATGGAAGAAAGACTGAGGCTTTGATTTCATATTTAAGGCCACTCAGAAACACAGCTAGACTTGATTCACCTGAATCCAAAGCTCTTCTATGTGTGGGCAAACTCTTCACCTTGATAAAACTGCCCTGACGTTTAGTTATTTGTACTAACATTGAAAATACTGAAAAGAGATTTAATTGACCTAGCAACTTGTGCTTTTAGACTTTTGCTTCAACTTGTCATCGAAGACACATGGAATTGAAGTCTTTTCTGCAGGTAAAAGTATTAAAATACTTTGCACACAAATCCTGTGCCCTCACCATTCCTTCCCATCCTCAGGGGATATTGGTGCTTTCAAAGGCAGCTCAGCTTGTGAAAATGGGTTAAAACCTCAGCCAAGCACCATCAGAATCAGGGCTTCATTGGCAGAAGTTATCAATTTGACCAGTTGTTTCTGAGGTTGAATGACTCTCCCTATTTAGACCCCTGCTAATTAGTTGCCGCTGGAGGTTGGAGAAGCTGTGATTTCCCACCAGGCAGTATTGAGTTCCCGAGAGTGTTCCTCTTCTGCCCCCAAGTCCTCTGGCTGGGTCTGATTTCCTCTTTCCAAGGGACACCACCACTTTAATACCTCACACAGCTGTGTCTAGAATGAGAGGCCTGGAGCATGTGGTCCAAGAGATGGGTTCAGGGTGCAAAGTCTTTCCATATATGAGCGATGGACACATAGCAGCCCTTAAGGGTGTAGCAGCCTCCCACTGCCCACTGCCCACAGGAGTCAGAACAACCAAGGCATTTATCAGCAACTTACAGGATGCCTGACTCCACGCTGAGCATTTTATGTGTCTTCTCTCTAATCACCATACCAGAGATTATTGTCCACTTAATTTATTACATGAAGAAACTAAGAGTCAGAGTTAAAAATTTGCCTGAGATAATATTCATTTTTAGATAAAGAAACTGAGTTAAATAATTTGTCTGCAGTCACACAATCAGAAATGGTGTCATGCAGTGAGCAGGAACCCAGATGACACAATTCCCACTCACAGGTCCCACGTGTCCCCAAATGGGGGCCTCACCAGTGTGTGAGTGCCTTTCCCTCTGAGATGTAACCGTAGGCTCAGAAACATCCATGCAAGCACCACATCTGCCTTTAGAGTGATTTTCAGACAAAGATGTGTGTGTGACTTACCACAGTAGAGTCCTGATATGCTTCTTCCCGCGATTATAAGTATATGAGATGGTCCCAGTTTCGAAAACCCCATCAAGAGAGCTCCAACGAATGAGAGGCTATTTGCTATCAACATGGCCTTGACTCTGAAATTTTAAAAATTAAGGATTATAAATTTGGCATCAAACTTTTAAAACCTGTTGAGACTTTTACCTAACAGCCGTTACAGGAGAACTTGTGTGAGGCGACTACCCTCACACTGGTCAACACACAGAGGTGGTGGCACCACAAGGAGCTGGGCCTGCTGTACTGATGTGACCTGGGGTATATGTCCAGTCTATAATGTTTAGGGCAACTTGAGGAGGTGGTCTGTGTAGGGAGGAGGCCAACTGTGGAAGTTCTGGAGTATTTTAATTTTGCTATATAAGCAAATTACCGTGTTTCCCCCAAAATAAGACCTACCCTAAAAATAAGCCCTAGTGGGATTTCTATGCATTTGTTAAATATAAGCCCTACCCCGATAGTAAGACCTAGTGGTGGGTGTGATACCATGCAGATACACTGCATAGCCACGCCCTGCATTTCAGCACGGAGCAGTAAGGAACTGGAATACCTTTTATCTGCCACAGCTCCTTTCTCCGAGCTGTTCACACTTGTGCGGTGCATGTGTGGTAACCTTGGTCACAGGCATCCTATTGTGCATGTGAGAATGGCTAGGGGAAAGGAGTTCACATATCACTAGCGCCAGCCCCACCAACAAGGTCAGCTCCCCCTGTCAGGTTCCAGAAGATGATTTAACTGTATTTGAATAAATGTAGATTGTTGTATTATACTTAATAAAAATAAGACATCCCAGGTGGCACCTGTGGCTCAAAGGAGTAGGGCACTGGCCCCATATGCTGGAGGTGGTGGGTTCAAACCCCGCCCTGGCCAAAAACTGCAAAACAAACAAACAAAAAAAAACCTTCCCTGAAAATAAGCCCTAGTGTGTCTTCTTGAGAAAAAATAAATATAAGACAGTGTCTTATTTTCAGGGAAACACGGTAGTTGGGAAGCCAGGTGTGGTGGTGTGTACTTGTAGTCCCAGCTACTGAAGAGAGTGAGGCAGGAGGAGCCCAGGAGTTTGGGACCAGCCTGGGCAACATAGTGAGACACCCCTCCCCCTCTTCTCTCTCTCCCCCCCCACAAAAGAGCTAGTTGGGGATTTTAAACCAAGATTGCAACTTTGACTCATCTACGGCCTAAAGCATGAAAAATGAGCAATATTTATGATGAGAGAATCTAGGATGCACCAACTATCTCCATGTTTTGATAGAAATTATTCGATCACAGTGATGACTATTTTGATTTAAGATATTAATCATAATTTTTTTTAAGGGTTTAACTAAGTTTTCTTTGCATTGGTTGTTGTAAAGAATAAATGTCCACTGGCAGCTAAATTCAGTTCTGTTGTAACACACAGCTTGTTTCTTTCTCTTTTTCTCCTTTCAATGGTACGGGTTGTTAGTTGATATAGCTAGGAAAGGAGCTTTCCAAGTTAAATGTGTTTTAACATTATAACAATGTGTTATAAATTATGAGAAAGCAAATTAAAATATATTTTTATGCCTTGTCATAGAGAAATTATAATTGTCTTTATCCTAACACTTTATGCCAGCATATCACATGTAACACTCTGCGTCTAGAATCTATAATATCAATCAATGTAAAATACAGTATATAATAAAGCTGATGATAGCAACAAAAATATTTTTTCCAGACTTTATTGTATGCAAATTGACAACATTTGCACGTATTGGGTACTTTCATTCATATTTAATGAGAAAGGGACAGAGAAAACTTCAAAGTTAAGCAGATAATAAAGCCAATAAAAAAATCTGTGGGATTTTTAAACTAGTGTGGGAATGTTTGTGCCTGGTTACATTCCATCTCGTGTTTCGAACTTTGACAGGTAGGCTTTTTCTAAGTAAGCATCTTTAACACCAAATAGATTTTTTTTTTTTTTCTGGAGAGTAAAACTCTATGATCTTATGCTGCAATGATCGCCCATCAGCCAGGTGACCGTCTGTGGTTAACATCCCCCAGAGTCCATATCCTAACTCTCAGACCCTGTCAATGTCACCTCATATGGCAAAACAGATTCTTCAGATGTGCTAGGGACCTTGAAATGGGGAGATTATTTTGGATTATCCGAGGAACCCAGTGATGCCCTCATAAGTGTCTTTGTAGGGGTGAAGCAGAAGAGGGGGTGGTGACATAAGGACAGAGTCAAGCCTGCAGTGACTTGCCTCAGGGAGGGACCACGACCCAAGGACTGGTGGCCACTGTAGTCCAGAAAGGGGCAATGGTGGGCTCTCCCCTCTGGCCCCAGGAGGGACCAGCCCTGCTAACATCTTCACTTTAGCCAACTAAAGCTGAGTTTGGACTCCTGACTCTCACAACTGTGAGAAAGTACATTTGTGATGTTTTAAGCCACCACGTTGGTGGTGATTCATTGTGGACGAAATAGGAAACCAACACGGGAAGGTATTAACCACCTGAGGGCAGGAAGAGCAGTCACATTGGGCTAGGCAGCCCCAGAGCTGCCCCAGATTATTGCGAGATGCTTTTATCTGCACAAGGACAGAGGCCAGGCAAATTCAATGATTTGCCTTGAAAAATTATTGCCAGCTAGTTAACCATCCCTTCTGGGGAAAGAGATAAAAAGGCATGGAAGAAATACCCGGGAAGGATTTTTGGTGCCATATGCCCTCATCCTTTCTCTCTGCCACCGAACAGTGGATTCAGAAGCACTTAGACAATGCACATCATCTCAACTTCTGTCCAGAGGGGAGGAATGGCTCAAATAAATAATCAGTAAACCAAAGGGCTGAATCAGGAAGAAAGAAATTTAACTTTACCTGAGTATATTTCCTTAAATCTGCTCTGATTCTTCTGTAGCATAGGCTCCTGGATTATCATGGTCTCCTCAAAATAAGCGGCAGCTGGCGCCTGCTTCATGTGTCCTGGGCACAGTACTAAACCCTGCATTCATTCTCGTTTAGTTCTCAGAACAGTGCTACAGGGTAACGAGGTAGATTTGGGTATTTGGGGGGATTTGGGCTTTTAGGGGGCGGAATCTCACTCTGCACCCAGGCTGCAGGGTGGTTGCACTGTCACAGCTCAGGACAGCATCCCTCTCCTCGGCACTTGCCACCCTCCTGCCTCAGCTCCCTGACTGGCTGGGACCATAGGCATGAGCCCCTGTGCTGGCCTATGTATAATTTTTTTCCCACAGTGCATGGGAGAAAAATAATCTTAGAGAACCTGAGTAATCTGCTCATTTTCATATAGCTATTAAGTGACAGAGCTGGGACTTGGTGTGAAACCCAAGGTTAAAGCTTTGTTTTACTTAGTCCCATTTTTGATGGAAAATAATGCAGCTCTCATAGGTCAGACATGTATGGGTTGCATAGAGTCTGGTCTTCCCCACCATGCCCCTGTAATTAAATTATAAATGTCCAGCTTGGAAAAATTAACCCTGAAAATCCCAAATGATAAAATGATGGCCACAGACATCTATTACTATTATGCAATTGCAATGAAAGAATTTTTTAAAAGCAATAATGGAAGGAATGCATTTTTATTTATTTACTTTTAAAAGAAAGGACACTGGTAATAAAGAAAATAATGTCATTTTCAAACAAGTCTTCCTATGATAATTTTATGGAAGATACTGAGCTCTTTTATCTTAATCTTGAAGTTGAAATTATGAATTTTATGGCTGTTTTCCAAAGAGGATCATTTTCCTACCGAGAGTTAGAATGGTGCTTGCCACAGGTCATTTACATGTGGGGCAGGTTTGACACGGGTTGTTTGACACTGCTTGGGGTATAACTATTGTTGAGGCTGAATCCTAAGACTTCAGAGGTCCTACATTCTAGCTCCTTTACTCAGACACTAATTATATGCCTCAGGATAAGTCGCTGGACTTGGCAGAATCTCATCTGTCAAAAAGGGGCAATAGGTTTTACATTTTTTAAATCTGGAATGGGAAGTAGTATAAAGTATCAATAGCTGCCAAAATTATTGATTTGTCCATATTTTAAAAATTAGTTAAATTTTGCTAGGTTTGATTTACTTTAGAAATCAACTAAGCATTAGTGAGCTGAGAAAATGTGAGAAATTGACCACTTTCTATTATGGCAAAGGAAACTCCTTCTCAAATAAGAATACTAATACTACTTGAGTTACTCTGACACCTGTTAGTTAATAAAGCTTCTTACAGTCCTATAACAGCTCCAGTATAAGAGGAAATGATCAGAATTTTAATAACTAGAGAGATAAAAATTATAATTCATCAAAAGAGTTAGAAAAACTAGATGAATTCCAATCTAGAATTGCTATGTTCATTTCCTGTATTATTGTCTATAACTTTAAAGAGATTTTCATTTTCTAAATTTTTCACATCTGACATATATTATTTTTGTCATAAGGAAAAAGGGCAAATAATACATAAAAGCCAGGCTCAAAGACCAGAAAGTAAATCCAAAGAAATAATTGTTTCATTCAAAATCTCAATGGCTGTAGCATGTGGCCTGGCTGGATGAAGTTTGAGGGTGAAGGATTCCCCTGACATCTGCAGCCCCGATGCTGAGGGCTGGAGGCTGCCCCCCGGCATCTTGGCTCAGACTCTGAGGCAGAAGCAGCAGCAGCAGCAGCTGGACCGAGTTAGGTATCCACTGAACTTTTGGACTTGATTGATTCGAGTACCAAATCCTACTTTAAAAATGAAAAACTGGACGTCTGAGAAGTGGAGTGATTTGGTGACGCAAACATGGAACTTCCAGGTTAAAAATTTTGATCTAGATAAAAACTTTATAACCCCCCACCCCTGAGCCCGAGCAGTGTGAAGAAGAGGAGGCGAGAACGACCCCGGACCGACCAAAGCGCGCGCGTCGCTGCATCCCCGCGTACAGCGCCTACGTCCCGCCATTGCCGCCGTGCCCAAGAGAAGAGCTGAAGGGGAAGCTAAAGGAGATAAGGCCAAGGCAAAGGACGAACCACAGACAAGATCCGCAAGGTGGTCTGCTAAACCTGCTCCTCCAAAGCCAGAGCCCAAGCCTAAAAAGGCCCCTGCAAAGAAGGGAGAGAAGGTGCCCAAAGGGGAAAAGGGAAAAGCTGACGCTGGCGACGGGGAAACAACCCTGCAGAAAATGGAGATGCCAACACAGACCAGGCACAGAGCTGCAGGTGCTGGGGATGCCGAGTGAAGTGTGCGCATTTTTGATAACTGTGTACTTCTGGGGACTGTACAGTTTGAAATACTATTTTTTATCAAGTTTTATAAAAATGCACAATTTTGTTTTACTTTTTTTTTTAAGCTATGTTGTTAGCACACAGAACACTTCATTGTTTTTTGGGGAAGGGGCATATGTCGCTAATAGAATGTCTCCAAAGCTAGATTGATATGAGGGAAAATGTCTTTTCCCTCTAGGTTTGAGAGACTTCCTCTTGGCTCCCAGGAGGGGGGATTCCCTGATGTTGACACACAGCCACCTTGGCACAAACGCCTTGTGGTATGGAAAAACTAATTTGTCTTTATGTCCTATTCTCCCTCTGCCTTCAGCATAGTCTTAACTCCCTTAAACCCAGTCACATCTTGGGACCTGACCCCCAATAACTGGTTACCAGTATGTTAAGGAATCTGGACCTTTTCAATAATACCACTGAGATGGCATCCCTCAAAAGAGCAGCGGTTCCATTTGCAGATTGTTGGATCTTCAGATAAAGTCTGCCATTTTCATTTCATTTCCTGAAAGTCAGGGTCGGCTTGTGAAAAGTTGTTAAACAACATGCTAAATGCGAAATGTCAACCCTCACTCTAAACGTCCCTCTTCAGAGCATCAAATGAAGACTTCCCTGGGTTTTATAGTGGCTTTCTGATTTTTGGTAGAACATTGAAGAAGGGAGTTTGAAAGTTGTTGTGTACTGTTAATGATTGTCTGCCCATGTCCTGCCTGAAATACCATGACTGTTTGTTAAAAGTATCTTTAATAAAGCTGGATACAGTTTGGCTTGGAAAAAAAATTTTTTTTTGATCTAGAACCTTCTGCTGACTTCCCGGGTTAGCCATTTGTGTGGTGGTTTTCTGATACGTTTCATAACTTAACGAAGCCAGAGAATCAAAGCAGTTGTCTAGAAATACACCAAGCTCAGTGTGCTCGAACGATTAACCAGATTGTTGTCACAGTGTTTGCCATTGGTTTGATCTAACACTGATCTGCTCATAGGGCACGAGTCAAAAAAAACCTCTAAAACTATTCCATAAATGACGATGTATTTCTGAACAAATGCTTACAAAAGCAAAGCATTAACATTTTGAAATGTACCCACCTTCCAAACTTGTCCCCAAGGAACCCACCAAAGAATGAGGCAATCATGCCACCAACTGCAAAGCTGGATACAGACAGAGACCAGAGCATGGTGATGAGGCTTGCAGATGCCACTGCATCCTCCTCAGCCCCATCAGCTGGCTCAGAGGTCGGGAGGTGCAGGCCCTCTGTGCTGTTGGCCACATAGTTGTTGACAGCTTGTCGGTCATCCAGGGGAATACCCAAAGTCTGTCTATAATGGGAAATTATCACCTAAGAAAATAAGATAAAGAAAAATAGCTTTAATATTTCAAATATTCCCTACATGTACTTTTTTAATTTTTCCTTTTAAAAATGGGTGCTAGGTATTTAAATAGGACCATTTAGGTGTGCTATAAACATATAAAAGTGGGTAGATTTATTTACTATGGATCATATCCTATAAAACAGAGGTCACAGATTACAGGAAGCAGCAGGAACAAATCAGTGAAGGAGACAGCTTGATGATCAGAGGCATGAGACACACTTTCTACTCTGGGGCTGTGGCTGGGAGTGGCGGGGGTGAAACCTAAGGGCATTTACCCTACCTAAAGAAGGAAGCCGAAATGCCAGGCTGGCACTGGATGGCCTTTAATATTTTAATGAAGCCAGAAATCTTTTTTTTTTCTGTAAAAATCTTTAAGTTTTAAATGTTGGCAAGTATTGAAATTCATATTCTGCAGGTTAAAAAGAGGGTTTATATTATATTGAGTTGCATAAATATTTTAATAGAAACACAACAGTAGATATAAAAAAGATTGGGAAAGACGAGAGTAAAAAATAAAGTTAGTTTACAAATCTCAAACACCAGGTGCTGTATCTTTGCTTGAAGTGAGCCATTGATTTATCAATAGACCCCCTAGCAGCCAGGGCAAGGAGAGGAAGAAACCTGCAATAATGAGTTCTAAGGCTGTAGGCCGGGCACCATGGCTCATGCCTGTAACCCCAGCACTCTGGGAGGCTGAGGCAGGTGGATTGCTCGAGTGCAGGAGTTGAAGACCAGCCTGAGCCAGAGTGGGACCCCTTTCTCTTCTAAACATAGAAAAAGTACACCCCTGCACTGCTGATGGTAGTGGAAGCCAATACGTCCCTTTTGGAAAGAAGTATGGAGAATACTCAGGGATCTAAAAATAGACCTGCTGTTTGATCCTGCAATTCCTCTACTAGGTGTATATCCAAAAGACCAAAAATCACTTTATAACAAAGATATTTGTACCAGATTGTTCATTGCAGCTCAATTCATAATAGCCAAGTCATGGAGGAAGTCCAAATGTCAGTCGGCCCATGAATGGATTAATACATTGTGGTGTAGGTATATCATGGAATATTATGCAGCCTTAAAAAAGATGGAGACTTTACTCTTTTACGTGTACATGGATGGAGCTGGAACATATACTACTTAGTAAAGTATCTCAAGAATGCAAGAAAAAATATCCCATGTACTCAGTACTATTATGAAATCAATTCACAATCGCTCACACTTTCATATGAAAAATAGATCACAACTACGGCCCAGGATGAAGAAGGGAGGAGGGGGGCACGGGAGGGTATGGGGGAGGTCAGATTGAGGAAGGGTGAATGGTGGGATCACACCTATGGTGCATAATGCAAGGGTACTTGTCAGATTTATTAAGAGAGTATAAATGTGTTAACACAGTAATTAAAAGAGATGAGGTTTATATTTTAAAAAATAGATAACAGTGATGGTTCCATAATACTGTGAATGTAATTTGTATCACTGAATTGTACACTTGAAGTGGTTAAAATGGCAAATTTTGTTATATACATTTTACCACAATAAAACAAATAGTGAGCTCATCTTACAAGGGTACATGTGAATCTTTCTAAATGTAGAATATAAATGTCTTAACACAATAACTAAAAAGGCCATGAAGGCTATGTTAACCAGTTTGATGAAAATATTTCAAATTGTATATAAAACCAGCACACTGTACCCCATGACTGCATTAATGTACACAGCTATGATTTAATAAAAAAAAACCCAAAACAAAAAACAAACAAACAAAAAAACAAATAGTGAAAATGAAAAAAAAATAAAAATAGAAAAACTAGCTGGGCTTTGTGACAGGTGCCCTTAGTTTTAGCTATTTGGGAGGCTGAGGCAGGAGAATCACTTGAGTCCAGGAGTTTGATGTTGCTGCGAGTTATGATAACACCATGGCACTCTACCCAGGGTGATGGAGTGAATGTAAAACAAACAAACAAACAAACAAAAAACCCAGAAAAGAATTCCAAGGATAAAATGGCCCTTGAGAAGGTGGCACTTCTGGTTGTAAAGGAAGAAGGTGCCAACCCTGCTCTCACTGATCTCAGTTCCTAGCCGGGCAGAGAGGAGCAAAATCTTGGTTCCTCACTCACAGAGACACCACCCCTGCTCTCACTGGCCTCAGTCTTGGCCAGGCAGAGAGGAGCAAAATCTTGGCTATCCACCCACAGGCTGTGCCATTGAGACCCATACGCCTCTGCTGTCCACTCAGCAGACACTAGAGCAGGGAGGCACAAACTAAATGAGGAAAACGTTGATGTTATTTGATGTTAGAAATACCCATGCAGGCCCAGGAGTGGTGGCTCATGCCTGGAATCACACAGTTTGGGAGGCTGAGGCAGGAACATTGCTTGAGGCTAGGAGTTTAAGACCAGCCTGAACAAAATAGAAAGATAAGATGGTGTATGTTCTAAGGGGTGCTTTATCTCCTACAAAGATACCATTTCTACAAAAAATTAAAAATTAGGCAGGTGTGGTGGTGGGTGCCTGTGGTCTTAGCCACTCAGAGGCTGAGGCAGGAGGATTGCTTGAGCCCAGGAATTCAGGGTTGCAGTGGGCTGTGATCATTCCCCTGCACTCCAGCCTAGGGGACTGGTGAGGCCCTGTCAAATAAAGCAAAAAAATCCAAAACTATATTATAGTTATCGTGGAGAAAATCTAAACTTTGTTAGACTTCTTGACTATTATTCTAAAGTTTTGTGCTGTTTGACTTTGGATCATCTGCTGGGGACAGGAATGGTGGGGGAAGGGCTTGTTTCTTTCAGGGTTAGGGCTCCCAGAGGTTTTAATCTGGGCTGCAGAGGGCACAGTATGGTTGCTGGGAGGGCCGGTCAGGCAGCGTGTGGTAGAGTCTGAGCAGGTGCTCAGGGCACGTGTGAGGGGGGTGCAACCCTGCCCCTGCACCCTTGTTGGCACGCTGAGGCCTCTAAGTACCACTGCAGCAGCTCTTTTTTTTTTTTTTTTCTTTAAAAGACTTCCTGGGGCATGTGGTATTCTGCCTGGAGTTTTCTGTGAGCTCAGCAAACAGCAGAGATTGAGAATTATTTTTTGCCTTTTTTTTTTTTTCTGTGATTGTTAACTGAGGACTCTGGGCTGAGTTATCAGCTTTGGAATGCACACAGCAGGCCTGAAGAGCCAGGGTCACCTCCTGCCTCCCACGTGCACACCCGTTATCTGTGTGTGTGTGTGACCAGGAAGAGGACTTGAGCATGTTCCACTTGCCTGCTGAGGAGCATTAATCACGCCGATGTCATATCCAAATTGAAAGGACCCCAGGGCCGCGGTGAATACAGCGAAAACCAACGTACTGGTGACCTGTGGGGTGAGACACAGGGCTGAAGACACCAAGCAACCTCAGCTCCAGGTCCCTGGCTGCACCTCCCACCCCCAGCAGTGGCCCTGTATCCTGGCAGGCAGGTGCTATCCAAACAAGAACATGGGAGCTGCCCATTGTCCCTGCACTGTTAACGCTGGAAAGATCTCACTCCAGGGCGGAACAGACATGCTTCTCTGAATATCTGCAAAGATCACAATCGGAATTGGGGACTAGAATTACTGTTGATGCCAGGAAGCGGCTACAATGGAACATCACGCAGAGAAGCCAAATGATATGGTAGGAATAAAGAGATGAGAGCCGAGCCCTGTCCTCACTGAGGAGGCGCCAGCCGGCCTGTGTCACCATCTGCATCAACATTCAGGTAAAATCTTCTTTTAGGATTGGTACCTAGATGAGCCTACATTAGGGGCATCATTTTCTCTTTAACTCTATGCAGCTATGATAAAACTATGTGGACAAGAGCAGAGAACTCACCTCCTTCAACTTATAATCACCATCTCAGAGAAGTCCTATCACACACACAAATACCTAGACCTACCCTGGACCAATGTCTCTGCAGGGAACAGAGGGACACAGAGGTTTGCAGGGTGGCTTCTACACAGAGTCTCCCTCCCGGCAGGCTCCTTCTCTAAAAGAAAGGACTGCAAGGCTGACCTCAAAGACTGATCATGCTTTGCATATATGTGTGTATGTATATATATATATATAATAGAATATATCATGTATCGAAAAATAACATAACTGTGCTAACATTTCACACACAGCACACACAAGCTACACATGAGCGTGTTACACACAAAATGGGTGCTCATGAACATGCTGTGCTCCATGTCCACGGGACCCTGAGAAGCTGTGAATTACCCTCTAAAATGCTACAGCACGTCTGAGATGCCACAGTTCAGACAGCAAGGCTGAGACCAGGCTGCACTGACGCACTTGGAGGTCTCTCCTCAAGTCCTGTCTCCCTCAAGCTGTTTCCAAGGACAGGGCTTTTTGTCCTGTTTGCAGTCTGTACTCGTGGCTGGCCAGCAGCAAGGGGTCTGCAGGGCCCAGGCACACTTCAGCACCCCCTGCATCTGCACAGTCTGATGTGGGGAGAGACGCAGACAGCGTCCAAGCCAGTGCAGACCATCCATGTTCTCAGTGGTGTCTGGTCACTGCTTAGGTGACAGCTCCATTCACTTCTCATATTAGTTTTCTATTTCTGCCATAAAACGTCACCATGAACTCAGTGGCTTAAACAACACAAATTTATTTAACTTAAAATTCTGCAGGTCAGAAGTCTGGTAGGAGCCTCACTGCGGTAAAATCAAGGTGTTGGCGTATTGTGCTCCTTTCTGGAGGCTGTTGGAGGAAATTCAAGTTGATGACAGAATTCAGTTCCTTATGGTTGTAGGATTAAGGTCTGCTTTTGTCCTGGCTACAAACTAAGGGTGATTCCCAGCTCCAGGGGCAAGTCCCACGCCTTTCCTTCATCTTTGGGGCTAACACAGCCGGTCGTGTCCTTCTGGTACTGACAACGGCCAGGAAAGGTCCCCTCCTTTTTATTATACGAATTCAAGGGATTAAATTTGATCCATCTGGATAATCCAGGAAAGTCTGTTCAAAGTATGTAAATTTTCTCCCATCTGCAAAGCCCTTCACCACATAAGGTAACATATTCATAGGCTGAGGTGGTAAAGCTGTGGACATTTTTGGAGGGAAGTATTCCCATTTTAATCTAGATAACTAGATTAGGTCAGCATCTCACAGCTAGTAAATGGAAGAATAATAATGTGGGTCCAGAGTCTATGCTTTTAACTTCTTGGTCACTTTGCCTCGCTCACTGGTCAGAAACATTCACAAGTCAAGTACATATGAAGATCTAGGGTCATACTCTTTACAAATTAGTAAAAACACTCAGAGTGAACATGCAGTGTTTACAGAATTTGCCATTTGTGATGCTGAAGCCACACCTCAGACCCACCAATCTCAGATACCCTTTCCTGCTACCTACCCCACAAATCTCCTCCCCACCTACTCAGAGAAAACTTTCATGAGGTCTCTGGGCAAAAATCCAAACAGGAAAGGCTGTTCAGCTGCTGCTCTGCAGCTGAGCTGAAGAGAAACATCCGGGTCTTCCCACCACAAGACAGGCCACTAGGCACCTGCCAGTGTCATCCGGAATCTTCTTGTCTTCTGTGACCAGTGTCCAGGCACTCAGTGCTGGTGGCTCCTGCCCCATTCCCGGCTTCCACTTCCTGTTGGCTCTTTCCTGCTCCCTCCACCACACAGGTGCCAGTGTCTTTCTTCTTGTTTTAAGAGCCCAACCAGTGGCCACGCCAAGGGTGAGTAGGGGGTTGCAGAAATGGAAGCTGGGCTGATGGTGTCAGCAGCTTCAAACCTGCCCTTTCATAATCTGCATCAACCTCCCCCATCACCCAGACCCAACCTCTAGGTCACAGCCACGTCAGCTGTTCCTATGTTACTTTGACAGAAATAAAAGTTAATTTTTAAAGATCCTGGAGGTGCTATCTTATTCCTTCCCAATCAGGTCATTCTGTGAAAGGGGAAATTTCTAACAATTTCTAAAAACCACCAGGGCTTAATAATCTTCATGTGTCCACTCTCACATCTGACACCAGGAAAGGAAATAGGAGCTGATGAAAACAGCAAGAATTTAGAGCTGCTCCTGCTTGTCAGACTCTGGGGTCTCCAGCAACCTGGTGATTACCCTGACCCTGACCCTCCCCCTGGGGATCCCCAGCAACCTTGTAGAAAATCTAGAGCTGGCCTAAGATGAAGCTAAAAAGTGAAAAATAGCTGCTATGAAGGGGAAGTTTTAAGTGTTTGGAAATCTCAGAGTATTCTCGTGGTCCTGGTCTTCCCGGTTCCTCTTTGGAGTAGGCTATGGTCCAGCCACCCAGGGCCAGCTGTCCAGGTGAGGCACAATCGTATCCATTTTGAGCAGGGCACTTGAAATTCTGAGAATTCCAATCAGTGTGATCACTGCAAATATTGAGCGTGTCTGCACTATGGGGCTGCATTCCTTTCTGCTTTCTTCTTATTTGCCGTTTATTCCAGTACTGTGTTTCCCCGGCTCCTCTCTCCCCATATTTCTGTCAATACTGCTGTAGAGGGGAAGAAATAACATCTTCATAGTCAGCCTCTGCAGGGCTTAGCTCTGGACTTGGTCGGAAAGAGTTTTGCTTATGAGAGAGGAAATTTCCAAAAACCACCAGGGCTTAATAACCTTCATCTGTCCACTCTCACATCCAAGAGGTCTGACACCAGGAAAGGACATACAAGCTGATGAAAACAGCAAGAATTTAGAGCCATTCCTGCTTGTCAGGCTCTAGGCTTCTCCCAACAACTCTGTAGGTGGTGATTACCCTGACCTTGACCCTAACCTTGTATGTGATTACTCTGACCGTAACCCTGTAGGTGGTGAGCATCCTAACCCTGACCCTCCTGACCCTGACCCTAACCTTGTAGGTGGTGAGCATCCTAACCCTGACCCTCCTGACCCTGACCCTCCTGACCCTGACCCTGACCCTAACCTTGTAGGTGGTGAGCATCCTAACCCTGACCCTCCTGACCCTGACCCTCCTGACCCTGACCCTAACCTTGTTGATCGTACTGAATTGGAATCTTAATGGTAGTTTCCTGATCTTACTTCACTTCTTTTTACCTGTATTGAATTCTTACTTAATGTTTTAGAGTATATAAGATAATCAGTAAAGTTGGACAGGGTCGTTGTGCTGGATAGAGCCTTGACCTCCCTTCATACCAATCATTCCGTTTGCGGTTTTCTTTCTCTGGGTCAACGAACAGAGGGCTTCGGGGAACACCAACACCTTGTATATGGTAATTACCCTGATACCGACCCTGACCCTGACCCTGACCTTCTAGGTGGTAATCAGCCTAACCCTGACCCTAGTATCTTTACACATTTGGGGATGCTAATGTAGGAAGTGTAAATAACTTGTCCAAAGGCTACCTACTTTTGGTCAAGCTTTTCTCTTATTTCTTCATAGGCGACAGGGTATTAAGCTTGCACTCTTCATTTAGAGCTTAATAACTTTAAATTAGAAAAACTAGATTCCATATCCAATATAAAATATGCTTCTGGATAAATGTAGCACAGAACAAGCAAACAGCTGAACATGAATGAAACTTTGTGTATACTGTGGCTTACAGGGCACCCGGGGTCTGCCAGGATAAGTAGGTGCGGGAGAACCTAGAAAAGAGTCTCAAAAAGGCCACGAGATCCCTGAGTCTGAGATCCTCTGCCTATGCAAAGGGCATAAAGATAGTCAGCACACAGGATTACTGCAGGATTTCCAAGGGTGAATAATGAGGTCGTCCTAGTCAGAGGCCAGGGAACAAACAGAGAACAAAGGCTCAGGACACGCACGCCATTCTCTCAGCCTTGGGCCAACTTTACAGCCTCACCAGGGTCTCTGCACCATACTAGAAAGTGCATTAAGTGATCCCCATTTCACAGGTGAGGAGACCAGGGCTTGGAGAGGGTGAAGGATCATGTCTCACACCACACGGCTAGTGAACAACAGACACTTGTATGGGACCCAGAGCTAATGTTCTTAGACCCCAATCACTAAACACAACAGCTGATTTTCCCATGACCCGTGGATGGGAAGGGAAGCCCATGCCCTTCTATAAATACACACTTCCAAAGCCACCCAGGACAATCTTGCAGCCAGGCTGGAGGAGGCCAGGAGCTTCTGGAGCCAGAGCGCTTTCAGGGTGACAGAGCCCACAGGAAGCCCTCGGCTCTTGTTCAGCTCCTCCGTCCTAGTCACAGGGACGAGGGTCCCTCAGCCAGCCATCTATGTAGCTCTGTCTACATTAGGGCACACCCAGGAGACGGCCTTGGGTGCTTAACCCTTATCCCCTGCTTATCCCGTTCTTTCAAAGTCTGAGCAGATTCACAAATTTGAAGAACATTGTGCCTTATGTCCGTTTTTATTCTTTCTGCGTGTTATCATTAGGCAATTCCTTCAAGCTCAAGAAAAGTTTTACAAACTAATTTCCAAAGCCCCAAGGGAATTTAAAGGTCATTCTGAATGAAGCTAGGGCACCGCTACCTGCCAGGGACTGGGCTAAAGGTCATCCTCTTCCAGACTTTAATTACTGTCCAGTTACCTGCATGAATTTTGCCAAATCTCCACACCATCTAATATTTGTCTTTACACAGTCTTTAAAGTTCTACCTACTGCAGTTTTATCCTGGGCTATATAGTTCTTCAAACACACATTACACATTTATTTATTTATTTATTTATTTGAGACGGTTGCCATGGGTAGAGTGCCGTTGCGTCATAGCTCATAGCAACCTCAAACTCTTGGGCTGAAGCGATTCTCTTCCCTCAGCCTCCCTTGTTCCTGGGACTACAGGCGCCCACCACAATGACCAACTATTTTTTTGTTTATTTGTTTGTTTAGCAGGCTCAGGCCGGATCCGAACCCACTAGCCCTGGTGCATGTGGGCAGTGCCCTAACCACTGAGCTACAATACATAAACAGATAACTATTTACATTAAAATATTTTTCATCTAAGCCTCTTGAATATTTTTCTTTTAATTACCCCAAGCCCTAAAATACCAGTATAAACCATATTATATTCCAATACATTTTTATTTTCTCTTAATAGAAAAAACCCAAAACCCAGTTAAATAATTCATGCCCCTTCTTACAGCAGGGAAGAGGTGTTGCTGGAGGCCAGACCCAGGCCTGGCCAGTGCCCAGCCCGTGTGCCCAGCCAGGCCAGCTTGTGACACCAGGGACTCAGCAGAACAGGTTTGCCAGGCCAGAATCTGCAGGGACCCTCTACTGGGGTACTGGCCAGTCCGTCTGTATTACTGTGCGGTGGGAGAGGGAGAGCTGTCCAGGGGAAACTTAAAGGGGCAGCAATTCTAGCCTGTCTTTATTTTGTAAAGTGTCAATACCTAGAAAGAAGTTTGGATAGTATAGCCAACATCCCACAGCCTCCACCTTTATTCACCTGCTGTCAACATTCAGTAGATTTAACTCTCTGTGTGCTCCTGTGTGTGTGTGTATGTATGTGTTCACATGGGTGCAATTGTGCAGTGTCTGTGTTCACATGCGCTATTTTGAGGGCAATGCCCGTGGTTCAAAGGAGTAAGGCACCAGCCCCATATGCTGGAGGTGGCAGGTTCAAACCTAGCCCCGGCCATAGACTGAAAAAAAATTTTTTTACACATGCGCTGTTTTGGCTGATTCATTTCAAAGCAAGCTGCTGTGGATTTCTGAGTCATTTCATTCCTAATCACTCAAGCATTTCCTTGCAAAGAGCCACGACACTCCCTATGGAATTAGAATATCAGGTAAGCGTGCTTGATATCGTCTAAGACAGATTCCCGGGAACATTAAGTATGCTGCTATAGTCTGAGATACAGCCCACATTTAAAATTCCCAACTGTCCTGTATTGTCCCTTCATAACCTGAAGTCACTTTTGTGAGGGCCTCTGAGTGGCCTTTAGTCCAGAACAGCCCTTCTCTCTCTTTCCTTTCCTACATTGACATGTTTGAAGATTCCAGATCAGTTTTCATGATTACATTCAGGTTAATTTGCCTTTCTGGGGGGTGGCGGTGCTGGCCCTGCCCTTCCCTTATTTGCCCCAGCTCATTTCTTTAGTAATATGATTGTACGGAACCACTTGACAAAGTTATGCAGACTCACCAGAAAACAGGGTAAAAATCCTGAAAACCCCAAGTACTGAATAAGAAACCGTTTTGAAGCAGCCAAATGAACTATCAATCAGTCAAATAAAGAGAAGAAATTCTGATCTGAGGTAGCAACACCCAGCATCCCCCAATCTCTACATCACTGTGACATATCCCCTAGTCCCTCAATGTCAGGTTCAAAACGAACAGAGTGTCACTATACCTTCTCTTCTGTCATCTTAGGGCGAGGAGTTCTCTGAGTTCCAGGTCCGGTGGCCAGCTCCGTTTTGCGCGCAGGCCCGCTGGAGCCTAGTTATACATTGCAGGAGGAGGGGCAAATATGGGAGGGGCAGGGCCAGCCCCCAGGAGTCCAAGTCCAACCTTTCCAGAAGTGGCTGAACTGATGGGGCCTGATCAATAGGGGCTGGCCTCAGTGACCCACGGTTTCAGTGCCAGGAAAGACAGCAGGGGCAGGTCCCTTATGCTTAAGGCACAAATCAGAGATGGTCACATTTCAAGGCATGTGCTTAGGCAGTAGCAGGCACAGGTGGACAGAACTCTTTGGAGTCTCTGTGCTGAGCTGTGCTGAGCTGTGCTGTGTTGTGCGGACAGTGAAGATGGGCCTGGGAGCACCATCCTTGCTCCACAGAGAGCCAGCACTGTGGGTTTGTGTTTGGAACTCAGCAGTGTGCCCAGAGGCCGTGCCTGACACGAGCAGTCACCTAACTGAGTTTTGAGGATTGTGCACTTGGGTCTGAACCTCAGCATTTTACTGGGGAAATGTGACCTTAAGCAAATGGCTCACTGGGGCTTTTCTGTGCCTTAGTTTTTCACCTGATAAAATGGAAGTAACAAAATGCATTTTGGTTTGTTGAGTGGATTAAATGAGATGATGTATGAGGAGCACAGTGGTGGTTACTGCCGTCACTTTCACAGCACACGTCAGGAAGTGCTCACCAGAGGCCCTCCTGCCCGGCCTGTGAGGGCCTCGCTCAGGAGCTTGAGCCTGTTCAGATCGGGGCATCCCTTGTGGTGTCCACATCCTGGGGGGCCAGCAGGTACCAAGTGGATTCAGCTCTAACTGTGTGTGACAACAGCTCCCTGCCTCTACTAAAGCCCAGATGAACCAGCTCCCTGCAGAACTAATATGGCAACAACGAAACATATGCTGTAAGCATGAGGAGTGCAGGGTGGAGACTCAGTCTCGTCTTTACTTTGCCCCCCCTCTTACCTTCTACCCCCCCTCAAGGCAACAGACCTGCACCCAAACTGTTTGGATTGAGCAGGTAAAATTTCACGTTTCTGAGCACAGTGCAGGTCCCCGAGATGGCCGAGCCTCCTCCTGCCGGAAATTTATAATCCACAGCACAAGAATGTGTGAATGCAAACAGACAGCACGGTCATTTCTTCCATGGAAAAGCATGAATAGCTGATGCTTTGAGATAATGTCTCAGGCTCTGCTGCCCAGGCTGGAGTGCAGTTGTGAGATCTTAGCTCACTGTAGCCGGCAACTCCTAGGCTTAAGCAATCCTTCAAGGAGGCTGGGATGGCTAATTAATAGTTAACCTTTATGGAGGTCCTTAGTGCCAGGTGCTGCTCTCAGCACTTGGCGTGATTAGCCGGTTTAATCATAACTCAGGCTCTGTGTAGAGCTTGAGTCTTTGGGGAGCAGCTTTGCAGCTGAAAGTGTCTGGGAAGCCAGGCTGACCTTCCCAGTCAGTTTTCGATGGTGAGGGTTGTGTACATAGCCAAAGTGGCCCATAGTCAGGAGAGGTTCCCTGGAAGGGACGTGGTAATCTACAGCAGGTGTCTCTGCCTCTGTTATGAATGATAGTCGTGCTCTGGGGCTTACCAGCCTTTGTCCTTGTAAGAAACAGAATTCGCTGAAGTGCTGCGTGGGCTGGAGTCCCAGTGTCCCACTGGTGCCCCTTACACCAGGAAACCACCATCCCTTCCATTGGGAGTGAGGCCTGCCCTGCACTCATCTTAAGCCACCTGACTGGTGCCCCTGGTTCTGCTCCTGGTCAGAAACGCATCCACTCGGCACCGTTTAGGTGAAATCTAGAACTTTGCCTCCAGGTAGGGAGTGGATGGACTCAGTTGCAATGATTGGTTTCACCTGGGGACAACTGATGCTCTGTCCCGGCCTCTGGGAAGGGTGGCCTCCTGTCACCCAGGCTTCTCTGGTTTTCCTGCCGCGGGGTGAAGCCAGACTTTGCTGCTGGTGTGGGCATTGCGTGAGAAGCCCCGCAGACTCTGGGCACGGGGAGACCAGCTCTGTGGATGGTTCTTCTGGCTTCACACTTTAAACCCTCCAGGTCACATTGCAATTATTTCCTTGATTAATTTAATCTTAGTAGCTTCTAGGTGGTGACAGGATGGGAAAAATGCCCCCCCCCTTTAAAAAATTGTTATCCTTTCCTTTAGTAAAATGAAAGTAGGCTTTTTCTAAAAATGGGGGAGCAGAGGGAAGAAAAGCAGATATTTCAGCAGACTGTACCCCTGCAGCCAGGTCAAATGTATGGAGTCCTGAGTCAACTCTCAGGAATCAAGTCGGACTTGGTCAAGTAGGACTGTCTAAAGAAGGCAGTGCACTTTAAGTTTTCTGAGCCAAATCTGTCCACACTGCAGCTGCCAAAGAGAGAGGCACACTCTTCACATCCTATCCTCCCCCTCCCACCGTCCTCAGTCCTCTCTGTGGTCCTGACCCCCAGCATCCCCTGGTTATGTCTGCAGAGCACCTACTGTCCTCCCCCTCCTCCTGTCGTCCTCCCGTTCCTGCCATACTCCTCCCTATCCCTATCCCTCCTCCTGTCCTGCCCCCCCCGCTGTCCTTCTCATTCCTTTCTGCCCTACCCCCCCATCCCGTCCTCTCTGCTCTTTTCCTGCCATGTGTTCACTTCTTGACAGAGCAGCCAAGACAGATTTAAAAGTTGGATTAGATCATAATACACACCTGCTTCAAACCTCCTAGGGCTTCCCAGTCACTCTCAGCACAACGCCCACACTCCCCAGGGCCTAAGAAGCCAGCTTGATGCAGGTGCTACCTGACTGGGACCCTCCCTCCTCCTGGGGGCTCAGCTGTGCTGGCCTCACACCTCTCCAGTGTTCCAGCTCCACCGCTGTGTTCTGGATGCTCTGGCTTCAGAGCCTCTGTCAGACCCATGTGGCTGGCTCCTGCTCTCCTCAGTGATGACTCCGTGAGGACTCCCCAACAAGGCTTCTCAGCATGCCGTCTTCTTAACACTTGTACTCAGAAAGTTTCATTCACTTGTCTGTTGGGGGGGAGGGACTGAGCATGGGTATGATGTGCCCAGCATGTGCTTTTTTGGGACTGTTCCTGATGTCAAGTGAGGGGGTCATCTGGGAGAGAGAACAGGCATGACCAGGCTAGTCCATGCATGCTACTCACCACCAAACCAACAGTGCTAGTGGGGAGGGGGGCTGACAAAGTCAGGGCACAGCAGAGCCTCTGTTTGTGATATCGAGGGAACTGTGACAGACTGGTCAGCACAGCAAGGTGGCCACCATCAGGAGCTTCCGCTGAGTGCACAGGGTACATGTCCGATCTGTGAAAATCAGGTCAGCCTGAGGGAGGGGGCAGTGCAGGAAGGGGTCAGCTATGGAAGCCCCACTGTGTGTGTATTTTGGTGGTAAAGCAGATAGGAATCCCTGATTATTGCTTCTGGGAAAGGAGGGAAAGGGAGGTCATTTTCTCCCTAGTTGTTAAACTAGGATGACTAGTTGTTAAATTAGGATGACTCTGAGGCCATTTACATTACAAGTGCTGGGGTGTGTAATCATTTCAGTAGTAATCTGAGTTTATCTTCCAGACCTCAGGGAAGACCACAATAAAAGAACCCAAACAGAAAAATTTAGTTCCATTTTATAAAAATTAAAATTTTGAGATAGCTATAGCTTCATATGCAATTCTAAGAAATCACACCATGAGCCTGTGTGTCCTTCACTGGTGGACAGAGGTGTCACTGGTGGTGACATCTTATAGGTCTACAGTGCAAGGCCACAGCCAGGACATCAACCTTAGTGATCAATGTGGGAACATTCTACCACCACAAGGATCACCCTTGTTGGTTCTGGAAGAGCCTCTTATATTAGGTCTAGATTAAGGTAGAAAAAATATCAGTAAATTCCTGGAAAATTTCTGGGCCATAAGCCCACAACAAAATGGAGTAAGTCTGGCTCACTCCCAAGACAGACGGGAAAGCACTCACTGACTAATTGCTTGACTAACCCCCTGAGACATGGACTGGGAAGTACCAACTGTCCCCAGTTCTTAACTGAACTTTAAGAAATACCAGGTGGAGAAAGTACTAAACAAAGATGTATGACTAAATGCAAAATTCTGCTTCTGTAATGCTTACTGGAAACCTACTGGAATGTACCTGGGCAGCCTATGTGCCAATCAGGATGCAGACTAAGTCTTAAAAATGCAACCCCTTAAGCACTTGGAATTGTTCTCAGAAACCCCTTGTTGGAGCACTGAGGCAGTCGCCAGCCAGCTCTTCAATAAAAGCTCTTCAATTAAAGACTCCTCTTTAAATTTGACTTGTCTGGCAGTATGCTCTTTGAGAGACTCCTAGGCATAACATTTTGGAGACCCCACTGAGATCCTCCAGACTCTGGCACCCCCTGGAAACATTCCAGGGCCCCCAGAGGACCCAGAGTCCTCAGGAGACTGGCTGATAATCACCCCTAAATTCACCTATGAGTTCACCTCCAGAGGTAAGCCATTTAAACATCGATTTTTGGCTACTGCCTGCAGATGTTTATTGTAACTATTGTGTTCATTTTTTGTTGTCCTTATTTGTTGTTGTGGACTGTTGTGGAAATGTATAACTGTTTGTTGTGAATTGTGTAGGGCCCTTAGGGACCTCCAAGGGAAGGCAAAAGGGACAGGAGCATTGGTAAGGATCCCTGGGTTGCCAGGCTCTTGGCCGGTCAGAGGCTCTCAGAGGAGTGTGTCAGTAGAGCGACCTTTTGCTAGAATCACCAGAACAGTGGTTGGGAGCCTCAGTCCTGTCCAAGAGAGTAACATGTAACTGCCACTGAGACATCAGTGCTTTGGCCTCGGGCCTCAGAGAAGTTGAGGTGCAGAGGGGGGTGACAAGGGACTTTGATTTCTAACCTCAAGGGTTATGCCTGAGGTTAGTCCCATAAACCTGTAAGACAGGAACCTCAGACTCTTGGGCTATCGGCCTGTCAGAAACAGGAACCATGGGTTGCCGAGCTATCAGCCTGTCGGGGGAATCCCAGAGATGTGTGTCAACCCCCCATCACTAGAAA